CAGCCGCCTAGCTTTTGTGGTTCCCGAGTTGAAAGTGCGGAACAAAATGTGGGACACACACACACAGACAGACAGACAGACAACCCCGTGACAATATGGGTTTTGTACTGCTGTTACACAGCACAAAACGCATAACAATAACAAATCATTATTCCCACACCGACTGTTCGGGACGTCGTCTTAGTCTTGGTAAGCTTCCGCAGTTCATGAATCAAATCACTCGAATAGACAGACACAACATGCACACACAGACAAGATTTCGAAATAATGCATTAACATGGGCATTAGACAGGCAGACACAATATGCACACACAGATGCAAAAATGCATGGGCATCAAAAGGAACCTTTTCTGCCAGCCGAAAAGAGTGAGTGCTTTGCACTTTTGCTCACTGGTTTCAAGCACCACGGCCTGCACACCATCAGCAATAATCACTTCTATCCGCGAGAAATCTAAATCTTTCATAATTTCGTACCTGAAATCTGGGCAATCCTGAATCCTCTCATCCAAATTCCACCTATAAAATAAAGAGATAATAAAGCGACCTATTCAGCAAACATTTTGTGTAGCCGCGCTCTAACTAAAGCAGAATGCCGAAAGTCGCCAAGAACAACAACTGCGCATTTGGTTTCTTACGCAATCCCCAAAGATGTGGAAACTTTGTCATTCAGTCCTCGTTAACAAAAGCACTCGGGCTACTGGTCGTTGTGAATGGTTTAGAGCGGTTAAAGGTATTAAACTTAAGGGTTTAAGGATAATACACTAAAAGGTAATATATTTATGTCTAAAAATGTCGTGTTCATGCGTCTTTGAATGTTTGAAAAAATGCGGTATTTAAAAAGAAAAACCTGTGTTCGGTATTGGCATTTGAGAGTGTCTTCAGCGGTACGGTATCACTTGTATTTGAAAAAATATACCTATATTGACACTTTGCGTGATGGCTTGTTCTGACAATGCAAAAAAGCCTCCTATAACAAATGGCTGATGTAAGAATGAACAAGCTCGGAGAAATGATATGGGCGACAGCACGCAGCAAACCTCGGCATTTCAATGCTTATGGGTTGAGAGCATCAGCAGGCAAACCAGTAAGTACAAAAAAAAACAAGCGTAAAACAGGAAGATTACCTGATCGCTTTCCGATAAACAGTCACAGCAGTATCCGCCAATGAAGGCAGCTCAACACTCAAATAATGATGGCATGACACACATTCGAGCAAATCCGAAGAAACGCAAATCCAACCATGAGAAGCGAACTTCAAAGGACTCAGCTGCGATGGCTTGCCAGCCCATTTCGTTATCTAAAGATTCCGCGTATCGCACCCTGTTCCCAAGCAGTAGTGAAGTTTCTCAAACAATCTTTTTATGCGGTTTTTTGTTTGATTCACTAATGCGAGCAATAACGTCAGTGGGTACATATGCATGAATTGACTCCATATATATGTATAAAGAGGGAGAAAGACACAGGGCTCAGAAGGCTAGAGGGTCGCAGTCAGAGATTATGTATGTTGCTTCTTTCGAAAAACCATCATTCAGTGCATTATTCGAGATCTCCCGTTCAAACGCATTACGCGCAAAATATCACACTTACAGTAAAGGTGCGTAATCGACTGCTAAGGCCTGCGTCTATTTGATCACAAGCAATTCGAAAAGTTCCACTTGCCTCAGCCCTGAAAATCACAAACTGCCCATTACAAGCAGTAAGGTTACACCCTCTTCCCATCACCCACCCATCCTTCCAAATTTCTCTAACACTACAAAATATCTTGCAGCTACCATTTCCACCAAATTTAATAGGTATTATTACTATGAATTTTATAAACAATTTATCAGTGCAGTGGAAGACGAACGAAGACAAACTTAGCAGATGTTTGCTAAAATGCTAGAAATTTACAAGCAAAAGCAGTTTGAAAATAAAGCTTACTGTTGCTTGAATGCGAGTGTTTGTTGGTGTGCTTGGTTCAGAAGGAATGCTGCTCTCGCCCTCATTTTATCAAACGCATCCTCATGCGCACCGCACTGCGATGGTGTCTGCAAGGACAATTCACTGCGCAAACAATTCAATACGGCGTGCTAGAAATGGATAACTACTTGTAAATTGATCCCGCCATGCCGTTGCCAGCAGCATTCCACCACGAGTGGCGGTGAATTCATATCCTCGCCAAACCATCAAAACTGCTCACGTATGATGCAAATGTTGCAAAAAATTTATTAAATAAACGCAGGAATTAGCAAAAAGGGCATCGAAATCATTTTAGACGTACTGACTTCGTCGACACTGCAGTACTTGGAAAGTGAGATGCTGTTTTGGTATAGAGGGGGAATGGAAGCCGGGCCTCCCAAAGCACCATCAAAATGAAATATGCAGAAATGGACCTCAGCAGTAACCTTATCAATAACAGCCCTTTGATCAGCTGCATATGGCTCATTCTTTCTTGCTTCATCTGCATTCATCACTCGCAAATTACTGATACAAGAAAAATGACGTCAGCTAGCCAGTGATACAGGTTCAGGGCCTGGAAATAAATAAATGGCAACGCGCACCAGACTAGCCGGTGTGATCATGCATTTTATGCGAGCCCATCGAACGATTGCCTACTAATGATTTTCACTGCTTTGTACTTTAGTCTATGCAAAAATAGTTTAAACATTGGAAAACAGTTAAAGATTTCACGCACCAGCGCATGAAAGCTGAATTCGAAATCTTGAAGGGTGAATATCTTTCCGTGATTCCCGAGTTAATAGTTTACCCGTAAAAATTTTCAAGCTCGTAGGTGGTACCCGAGAGCGCGAGAACGCTGAATTTGAATAGGCAAAGTTGAGCGTGGGCAGGGGTTATTACCCTAAAATTCCAGCCCCTCCGACTCCATGGTTCCCGAGATATTAATTTACCAGTAAAAAACTTTCACGGGGCCACACGTGTTACCCGCGGGTACGGGGAAGCTGATTTTAAATTTGCGGGGTCACACGTGTGTGGGGAACGTTCCCTAAATTTTCATCTTCCTACCTTTTGTGGTTCCCGAGTTGAAAGTTGCGGACAAATTGCTGCGGACACAACACACACAAACAACCCTGTGACAATATGCGTTTTGTACTGCTGTTACGCAGCACAAAACGCACAAAAAATTTGCGAAACACACCACAAAAACCAGTGGACTTTCTCCAGTCTGCTTCAAACAGCGCACAACGGTACATCGATGCAGCTAATTTCAGGCCTACCTTCGCTGAGTGCGCGCTACGATCCCATTTTTGGCAATAACTAAAACTTGGCTCGGCTTAACTCATCTGGCCTCGGCCGAATCCGTTACACGACTTGCTATCGATTCCTCCGGAACCGTTCTATCACGACGGGTGGTGTGGTGATGAGGAGAGGCGGGAGGGGGGGAGGGGAGGGCTGCGGTGTGCGGGTGCTGGGCGTAGGGACTGGAGGCACTGGGGAGGGGGCGATTGGTGGACTGAGTGGGTATCTGTCGTGACCACGCAGGGGAGAAGGGGGAGGGGTGATGGGTGGAAAGGAGGCGGCACCGCGCTGCTGGTTTTCGCCGCGGACATGCGAGGTGCGGGAAGGGCTCCAAGTGGCCTGCAGGAGGATACAGGAGGTGAAGGGGGAGGGGTGGCAGTACATGAGCACATTTTTCGGTTCTGGGATTCGAGGCAGGGAGAGAGTTGAAGTGGATGGGATGGGAGCGAGGTTATGTATGCGGGTTTCCCGCGCGGGGAATTGAGGCAAGGGGAGGGCGCGTCGAGTGGTTACGTTGGCAGTTGCGTATGCTAGGTAAGGGGAAGAGAGAGGAGGGTGGTGCCTGGAAAGGAAGAAAGCAAGAAAAACGTAAAAGCAAGAAAAGCAAGCTTCCACCATCAATACTGGACATCCCCACCTATAAAGCTGATGCTTAGATAAAGAAAGCTGGAAGCTGATGCTTAGGTAAAGCTTAGAGCTCTCAGCTTTGCGTAAGCATCAGGTTCACCTTATTCGCTTTCAGCTTTACCTAAGCATGTTTTATAGATGGGAGAGTCCCCTACCGATGGCGGTTTTCCATTTACTTTTCTTGCTTTTACTTTCTTTTATTATGCGTTTCGTGTTGTGTAACAGCATTACAAAACGCTTATTTTCACGGGATTGTCTGTGTGTATGTGCTTTCATGCGCTGGTGCGTGAAATTTTTAACTGCTTTTGCATAGACTAAACTAAAAAGCAGTGGAAATCATTAGTAGGCAATCGTTCGATGGGCTGAATTGCACAAAACGCATGATCACACCGGCTAGTCTGGTGCGCGTTAGGCAATCGTTCGATGGGCTGAATTGCACAAAACGCATGATCGCACCAGCTAGTCTGGTGCGCGTTGTTATTTATTTTTTTCTTGCTTTCGTCCTTTCCACCCATCACCCCCTCCCCTACCCCTCACGGGGCCTAGGCAATTGCAAGAGACCTACACCATGTGGCTCTTTCGCCTATCCACCCGAACTTCATTTCCTTGTCTCGAATCCCCGCGCGCGAAATCCGCACACACCATTCCTCACACCCACTCAACCCCTTCTCCGTATCCCGAATCCCAAACCCTAAAAATATGCTCATGCATTGCCAACCCTTCTCTCCCCTCCTGTGCCCTCTGCCATGTACCACTCTCCCCAGCCCTTTCCATACCCCGCGTATCCGCTGCAAAAAACAGCAGCACGGCCCCCTTTCTTTCCGTCCCTCACCCTTCTCCCACATTTTCCCCACTTGACTACACCAAGTTACTACTCTATCCAGCCTCCCTCTACCTCCAATCCCTGCGGCT